AAGTCTTCGTACCAATATGACCAAGTTGCGAAAAGAAGGTCAAACAACTTCTATGCAACGAAAGGAGACTGCTACCACACAAAAGGCCACACAATCTTGGTCTTCATACCTTCGATAAAGCTAATGTCGTTGTCGTGGCATCTAAAGGAGGCTGTTTCTAGGATTGCGTCAGCCGGCGCATCCCTGTAAAATTCAAATAAACACAGCCAGAGGGTGATAGGACCGACCCTATTTCACAAGAAATAAAGGAGATCTCAGCAAGAATGAAATTTGATTGTGAGGCGTTAACTTACTTGATCACTTCAAATCTAAATTCTAAGTGATGCGACAATCAGATGTTGACTCCCGCAGGTATCTTTGTACTGAGTATATTTCCTGTTCTGCTTTATCTCTTATGCATATAACTCTGACTGAGACTTTACTTTCTTACGAATTTCGACTTTACTCCTCCCTCATTTCAGATTATTTATGAACTGGTGACGTTTTGAGTCATGGGCAAACTAGTTTCCACCCAAGCAAGAGGGCGTTCATGACTTTTTACACACCCGAATGTCTCTCAACTAAAAGTCTCACTTTCCTAATTATTGATATAAAGACCATCATTTCGTATGGAAGTGCATGACGAAGAGATTCTTAGGACAATCTCACCAGAAGACGTTGGCTTATTCGCGTTGTACTGCAGCCTTTTGGCCGTAATGCGGCATTCAGGTTGATCCAATCTACTCCAACGCTTCGGGCGAAGAGGTTCTTGACTTAGTATTAACTTGGGGCTTTTGCAAGAAGGGGTCCCAGCTCTGACGATGTTCGTCATGTTGCATGACAAACGAAAGTTCTGTTTGTCTTCGTCCGAAACTTTGGAGGATGTCTCGTGGACTGCATCAACACGAACGAATTAATGCCGAACGGCTGCAGCACAACCCGAATCAGCTGACGTCTTCTGGTGAGATTGACCTATGAATCTCTTCACTATGTACTTCCATATGAAATGAAGGTCTTCACATTAATCTTATCTCAGAAGATTCTTTGAAACCTGCACTTTCTTTGTTTCCTAAATCTTTTCAAAACCTCGCTTTAAGGCTCCCGAAGAGCGTCTTCCGCATCCACAATCACGCTCAACGGTGACACGGACAGTCTCATTAGCCGTAATGCGGTTGCCATTTCCTCGCGACAGTCCACGATTCCCGGTGACCATCCTCGTCAGCTCTACTTGCGGAATCTACCCTACCACCAACCTGAAGATGAATCCACCCACGCGGCTGGCGTTTCAGCTGGTTCTCGTTGCCATGCCGACTACGTCAACTTAGACATAGAAGCTTCGATGGGGCCTCTAAGGCGTTTGGAGAATCTGTCTGCAACTCACAAGGAGCCAAGGCTACTGACGCCATCATCAGCCTCAGTAAACGGGGCTCTGGCGGCTCGAAGCTGTGAAGAGGCTGGAGAACCGATCGCCATTCGACGAGCACCCTCCGATGGGGACCGACGTCCCAAGATTAAACAGGATAAAAAGGAAGGAGAGGAGAGGAGGAGAAAGAGGGAAGAAGAGACCAGGACGTCGTCTAATAAGCTGGTTCCACCTTATGAGGTAGGCAGTTGACTATCTTTTGCTCATCTCCATTTCGAGTGAAAGTTATCGGCGAAGAAATACGAAGTTCGATCCGACCAGAAGACGACGGTGGATTCCTCTTGACCAGCTGTAGATTGGCATTACTTGAACATTCTTATTGACGCTGCTTCCAAGGCAATCTCCTTTAATTCCGGTGAAAATGTGCTAGGCCTTTGTCCGTCGTATGAAGAACATCATCAGAGCAGGGAGGGCATTATCCTTACAATCATATTCAAGCTAAAGAGTCAAGTCGTCATCTTCCAGAGGGATCCACCTTTGAATCGTTTCAGCAAACACCTTCATTCGAAATCGAATTAAGCGTATCTTCTTTATCTTTATTCTTCTTTTAGTTTTGTTATTCAATCAGGTGTCTTCTTGACTCGTTAGCTTGAACATTGTTGTAAGGATGATACCGCACTCTGATGATGTGCATCATATGACGGACGAAAGCTTAGCACGTTTTCACTGGAATCTAAGGAGATTGCCTCCGACACAGCGTCAACAAGAATGTTCCAGCAAAGCCAATCGACAGCTGGTCAAGAGGAATTCGCCGTCGTCCTCTGGTGGAATCAACCTTTAAATCTCTTCACCAAACACTTTCGCATGAAATAGAAACAATCTTAACAATAATGAAACAAGAGATTCCTCGAAACCCAACATTTCTTTACATATCTTTTCCTCGCTGCCACAGCGACCATCTAGGCTCTGGAAACACAGCAAACAGGAATCCTGTTGAAAATCTTTTTTACTTGCCAAGTCTTGCAAGTCGCTCTATTTTTCCCCAAAAGGTACATATTGAATCTATTAAAATTCAGACTCCAAGGCATCAAAATTTAGCTGAAAGCTTCATCCTTACCCATTTACGCCTTCAGTTTGGTTTAGTGACGACTGCTCGAGAGGCTTGTTGATGGAGACGGATGATTGTAGTGTAGAGATGGCAAAAGTTCGGTTTGTCCATTGTTTTGTTCGCGGCTTCTTTTCTCTCGAAAGACCTGGTTTGATGTCGGTTTTGCAATTTTCTCGTGCTTTCAGGAAGACCTCAGACAAGATAGCTCGAATGACGTCCTCTTTCATTGTTATCTTGTACTCCTCCAGTTCCGGGCAGGCGACTGGATGCCTTCTTGAAGAAGCGGGCTTACATACAAACACTAAAATCGCATGATTCTTGAGTGGCCTGTTGTCTATAGCCTCTTCACATTACTCTCATCCACATTACGTCCAACAACTGTTCTAGAAATATGGCATCAAATCAGTCTGCCCGAGTCCTTTTCTCCACGCGATTGGTCGGTTTCTGTCTTCTTTGGAGCAGCTAGCAACAGACGTGTAGCCTGCCTTACTAGTACAACTGACCTTCCCGGCCCTACAGACTCGAATCCTTACCCTCCTTTCTAAAGGGGAAAATAAATCTTCTTCATCCCTCAATTTACCTTTATATTCTCTCTATTGGAGAAGAAGCGTTTACTAACAGAAATGGTTGAGGAGACTCACATTTTTTATGAAATGATGAATAAATTCAAAGGTCGATCTCACCAGAAGACGACAGCTGATTCCGGTTCTGCAGCCGTTTGTCCGAGACCATCCTCCCTGGTTTCTGGTGAAGGTGGGCTGAGTTTTCATCCATCATATGATGGACCTCATGTTTTCACCAGTTGTTATGAGTATATATAAAAGCTAAGACAGAGCCAAATAGTCGTCTTGACCCAGTTTTATCTTGAGGCTGTTAGAAGAATGAGTTTCAGCTCTGATGGTATCCATCAGATAATGGACAAGCGCTCAGCTTGTCTTCACCCGAAACTGGGAAGGATGTCTCGTGGACCGCGTCAACCTAAACTTTGTAGTAAGGCCAAATAGCTGCAGTTCAACGGGAATCAGCGGTCGTCTGCTTGTGAAATGGACCTTAGAATATCTTCATGCACTTTCATGCGAAACAAAAGTCTCCTCAACGCTGTTATTTTGAGATATATGATGTATTCACCCTATTTGTTTTAAGGTGATGAGGGACTGGTAGTTAAATTGGGATATTCATCGGGACTCATCTATTCTTCACAAATATCACACCGCAGAGTCGGATTTGAGCATTTCAGATACGAATTTGTGCATTTCAGCCAAGCTTTTGCACCCTTCCCAAGTCACAGCTGAACAGTGCACAGACCAACCCATGCCCAAAGCAGCCTAGGTCCTGTCACACCGCATTCCCCCCCACATTATTCACTCACTACTCCTCGATTCACCAACCAGTATCTTCCCCTTCCCTCTCGATTCATTTCGACCTACTTACTTTGAGTCTGTCCTTTTCTTGACACAACCCTTATTCTTAAGTTGATGTTGATCTGCAGCCAATTAACTTGACATTTCAGCAAGCCTTTAGGTAAAACATAGGATATCTAACCCATGCAAGAGATGTCTAATTAAATGGACACAACTAGGCTATAAAAACTAGGTGGGATTGAGGTCGGCCATCTTTATTCTCTTTGCGCTTGGTAAATTATCGTAAAACATGGTGCACTGCTCTGACAGTGTCCGTCGCAGGGCGGTGCGCCGAGGACCTATTCGCACAAATCTACAGTCACAGCCCATTTCCGTCTTCCCCTCGGCTTTTCAAACGAAATGCAAGGTACTCCAACATCAATGCATTAATGCATTCCTCGAAACCCACTTTTTCTTCATACCTTGTTCATAGGGTTGGTTTGGATCTTTCTCGGTCAGTAATTCACTTTTTTCATCCGTTCCTCATTATTTGTCCATTACCCTAGCAATGGATAGGCACTTGGGTTCATGCTGATGGCATGATGGAATTTCAGTTTATGCTTGGATATTGGGTAAAGTTATCGCTAATTCCCCATTTGATAGCTCATACGCCGAATCAGACTTTCTTGCAGTCGGCTCAGACCATATAGCATGTAGGGTAAAGCCGGATAGTCCTCGTTACTCAGTATTAACTTGAAGCTTTTGCAAGAATGAGTTCCAGCCCCGCTGATGTCCTTCCGTTTTCACTTGAGGAAGAGGATGATATCTCGTGAACTGCGTGAACCTAATAATCGTATTTTAAAGAAAAACTGCGGTAGAATGACATTAATCAATCGTCGTCTTGAGGTGGGATTGATCAACGAATCTCTTCATCTTGTACTTTAGTATGGAAATGATGGTCTCCACAATAATGCCATTTCAAGGGATCCATCGAAACTCAGTTTCTCTGGTGATGTTTCCTGCTTGCAGCATGTTGTCATGCTTACACACCAGAGCAATCTTCAGCTCAGGGCAAAAGGAAATCACGAGAGGCTGTCATTCGACATTGTGACGTAGAGGTAGAATGTTGAAATAGTAAAGCCCTTTGGGGTGTGTTGACGGGACCAGTTGAGGCGAGATCGAAACGGGAGTATATTCCAGCCTGTATGAGAATACCACTTGGAAGGCAAGGCTAAGTGAACTTCATTGGTGTCATGACACTTACTCATATCAT